TATTGTTCCACCCGTCGGCTGGGGATGGCAACTTCCGTCGGCGCCTTTGCTTCAAAGCCGTAGCACAGGGCGAAAGGCGTTTCACCTGTCGCCCTCCTCGGCGTGGTTCTGTAGCACCACAGGATGCTGGGGAGCTCGTCGACCTAACTACCTCCTGCGGCCTGGAGTTTCTTCTTCAGCCCCTCCATGATTGTTCTGTTGGCGTTCTCGACCTGCCCGTTACCCTGAGGGTAGGCAACGGAGGAGAAACGATGCTTTACCTCAAACTCCCGGAGGAGCTCTTGGAAAGGGGCTGCCTCTAATTGGGTGCCGTTGTCTGATATGATCTCCTGGGGGACGCCAAAGCGTGTGATGATGTTCTTGTAAACAAATTTTTGGCATCTGGCCCCCGTGATGCTGGCCAGGGGCTCCGCCTCGACCCACTTGGTGAAGTAGTCGACGGCGACGATGATGTAGCGGTTATTCCCGGCGGCTCTGGGCAGGGGGCCGACCAAGTCAATCCCCCATCTGGAGAATGGAATTGCAGTGCTGACAGGGGCGTAGTTAACAACTGGCCGACCAGGGGCCCTCTGGAGCACCTGGCATGTGGTGCACTTCCTGGCCAGGTCAGCGCAGTCGCGTGCCATCGTCGGCCAGAAGAAGCCCTGGACGACGAGACGCCGGGACATGCTGAAAGGGCCCTGGTGCGAGGAGCAGACGCCACAATGAACTTCTTCCATGGCTGTGTCGGCCTCGTCCTGGTGCAGGCACCGGAGGAGAGTGCCATTATAGGACCGTTTGTAGAGTTTGCCATCTTCGATGGTGTAGCTTGGGGCCCTGAGTCTGGCAAGTTTGGCCCTCTCCTCGTCCGGGGGCAGCTCCCCCGTAGTGATGAAGGTGGCGATGTCGGAGATCCAGTCCTCTGGTCGCTGTTGGACGCACAAGACGGGGCTGGCATGGATGCTGGACATGCTCAACTCCTCGATCTTGGCCAACTGGGAGATGTGCTCCGGGGTGTCCGAGCTGAGCTTGGAGAGGATGTCGGCTTCGGCGTTCTCGGCCCTTGGGATCTGAGTGATCTCATGGGTTTCAAACGCTTTCAGCAATTCCTCCGCCGCTTGTTTGTACTGCTTCATCCGGCCTTCCTTCTCTTCGTACGATCCCTCCACCTGGCCCACTACCAGTTTGGAGTCGCACTTGATTTTGAGGTGCTTGGCCTTGAGGCCGGCGGCGAGTCTGAGACCGCTGAGGAGGGCCTCATACTCGGCTTCGTTGTTGGATACCCTGAAGTTGAAGCGGATGGCATAGTAAGCTCTGAATCCTTCAGGGGATATGAGGACGACGCCGACGCCGCCGACGCATGATTTCGCGGCCGACGAGCCATCAGTGAACAGGGTCCACGTATCGCCCGGCTTCGGCCCGGAGTTGGCGACGGCCGTCTCCCTTGCTGTGCATTCGATGACGAAGTCGGCCAAGGCTTGCCCTTTGATAGATGGCCTTGGCTTGATCTCAATCTGAAACTGGCTAAGGAAGATCGCCCATTTCACCATCCTCGAGGAGCTAGTGGGGCTCCTCATGAGCGCGCCAAGAGGCTGCTGGGTCAGCACATGGACGGTGTGGGCTTGGAAATAGTGCCCCAGCTTCTTCACGGTGTGGACGACGGCCAGCACCGTCTTCTCAATGGGGGAGTACCTGAGCTCGGCCTCCCTAAGTGTCTTGCTGATGTAGAAGATGGCCTTCTGCACCCCTTCGTCCTCACGGATGAGCACGGAGCTGATGGCCGACGTGCTCACCCCTAAGTACAAGAAGAGGGTTTCGCCGGCTTTGGGCTTGGAGAGCACAGGTGGGGACGACAGGTACCTCTTCAATTCGTCGAATGCTTCCTGGCACTCCGTTGTCCACTTGAAGCTGTTCGCCTTACGCATGATCTGGAAGAAGGGGAGTGCCCTCTCGGCTGACCTGGAGAGGAAACGGTTTAAGGCCGCCAGGCGCCCCGTCAGTCGCTGTACCTCCTTGACGTTGCGGGGCGGCTCCATGTTGATGATAGCCTGCGTCTTCTCCGGGTTTATCTCGATGCCTCTCCGGCTAACCATGTAGCCGAGGAACTTGCCACCCTGGACGCCGAAGGCGCATTTCTTGGGGTTGAGGCGGAGCCTGAACTCCTTCATTATCTCAAAGATTTCCCGGAGGTCGTCGGCGTGGGAGGTGGCCTGCCTGCTCTTGACGATCATGTCGTCGACGTACGCCTCCATCGTCCGGCCAAGGACCGCCCTGAAGATCTTGGCCACCATCCTAGTGTAGGTGGCGCCGGAGTTTTTGAGTCCGAAGGCCATGACGAGGTAGCAAAAGATTCCCTCTGGGGTCATGAATGTCGTCTTCTCGGCGTCATCTTCATGCATGGAGATCTGGTGGTACCCTCTGAAAGAGTCGAGGAACGACATCAACTCGCACCCCGCCGTCTCGTCCACCAGCTGATCAATGTTGGGGAGAGGGAACGGGTCCATGGGGCACGCCTTGTTCAAGTCAGTGTAGTCAACACACATTCTGAACGTCGGCGGTTTCTGTGCGAGGACGACGTTGGCCAACCATGTCGGGTACTTCACCTCTTTGATGTGTTTGATCGATAGAAGCATGGCGACCTCCCCCTTGACGAAGTCCCGCCTGTCGGCGGACAAGTAGCGCCGCTTCTGTTTGACGGGCGCGGAGGCCGGATCGACGGTCAGCCGGTGAGTGATCACCTGGCGACTGATGCCTGGCATATCGTCCGAGCCCCACGCGAAGACAACGGCGTATGACCGTAGGACGAGGAGGATGGCGTCTCGTTGGTCCTGGGGGAGTTGTTTTCCGACCCTGAGAACCCGCTCCGGTCGGGAGGTATCCAGAGGGATTTCCTCGACCTCCTCGGCCGGCTCCGCATGTGGCCTCTCCTCGTCCATGGCGACGGCGGCCGTAATGGTGTCTATCCTCTGTCCTTCCCTTTCGGCCGGCCTCGTTAGCTTGAGGTAGCAAGCTCTGGCTATCCTCTGATTTCCTCTGGCGTAGCCGATGCCGTCATTGGTGGGGAACTTCAAACATAAGTGCTTCATGGAGATGATGGCCTCCAAGTCCTCCAGCGCTGGCCGGCCCAAGATCAGGTTGTGGGCGCACTGGAGGTTGACCACCATGAACTCCATGTCAATCTTGGCGTGGTGGGGGCCGTCACCGACTTCCACGGGGAGGACTATCGTGCCCTCGGCGTCGATAGAGTCCCCGGTGAAGCCGGATAACGGGGTCTTGATCGGCTTCAGCAAAGCTCTGTCCAGCGTCAGTTGCTTGAAGGTGTCTAGGTACATCACGTTGACGGAGCTCCCCGTATCGATGTAAGTTCGGTTGATGATGGAGTCACCGATCTCACATCGGATGACAAGGGCGTCCCTGTGTGACTCCGTACCTGGAGGCAGATCCTTGTCGGTGAAGGTGATCGCCTCCGTTCGCTGCTTCTTCGGCTGGGGGGGGACGTGGGACACCTCCCCAATGTAAAGGAATTGGGCCCATTTCTTCCTCTGAGTGGCGGAGTCCCCCCCAGTATTTCCACCTACGATGAGGTGGATGTGATTCTTCTTCGGCGGAGGCTCTTCGAAGTCCTCGTCGTCGCTGAGTCTACCAATCTCCCGCTTCTTCGCAGAGGGTTCGCCCCCATGTTTGCCGGTGTTCTTGCGTGGGCCACCTCTGACAAACTGGGAGAGTTCCCCCTGGCGAATAAGGCGCTCGATGGCCTTCTTCAATGTGATGCAATCGTCGGTGTTGTGCGACGAGTTCTTGTGGAACCGGCAGTACGTGCCGCCCTGCTGGATGGCAAGGATCTCCTCGGCCGGCCGAGGAGCCTGCTCGATGAGGCCGTGCTTCTCGGCATAATCGAGGATGGTGCCGACCGGGTGGGTGAGGGCTACCCCCGGCCGTTCCAGCCTCGGCCGCCAGTGGCAGTCTTTCTTACTCTATTCACCAGAGCCGTGGCGGTCCTGGGCACCCTGGCCGGCCGGGGACGGACCCGGGGCTGGCGAAGGATTTGTCTTCTTGGGGGGATGGCCCCCCTCTCTCTTGTGATTGTGGAGCTCGTCGGCGTCGGCATATAAGCCTCCGCGTTGGAGAGCCTTGGCATACGACCTCGGGGGGTCAGTGATGAGGCTCCTGGCGTACGGGGAGCTGCGGAGGGCTCCCTGGTACAAGGCGAGGAGGGTGCGCTCATCGGCCCCCTCGACCTCCTCGGTCTCCCTCGTCCACCGATCGATGAATGACCGGAGGGACTCCTCGTGCTGCTGCTTGACGGAGAGGAGGTGGGTGAAATACTTCTTGGCGCGCTTCCTCCCGGCAAAGTGAGGAAGCGCTGGGCGAGATCCTGCCATGAGTCAATGCATCCTTCTGGCAGTCCGTTGAACCACTCGTACGCTGGCCCCTCGAGAGTAGAGAGGAACCACCGGCAGAGGTATTCGTCGGACGCGTTCACCATCAGCATGTTGTTTTGGTAACGGCTGAAGTGCTCCTGGGGGTCTGATCGGCCATCGTAGGACCTGATGGCGTTCCCCCTGTACTTCTCAGGGATGGGGCCGAGAGGACCCTGTTGGTGAAAGGGGTCCTGGTCCTGACCTGGATGATGGGGTCACCTCGCCCCTCGGCCAGCTCCCTCTCCAGGGCGCTAACCTTGTTCATGAGCGCGTTGAGGCCGGGGTCGTTGGAGGCGCCGGCCGTAGGGATGTTGGCCGACTGCTTGGCCTCCATCTGAGCCAGCCTCCTCTCCAGCTGGGCGATGACCTCGTCCCGGGGGTCCCTATCGGCCGCAGCGGCGCCCGGCTGGTTCCTCAGGCGCTCGTTGTGGGCCGCGTTGATCCGGTGACGCACGGCCATTTATTTAAAACATAGTTATTAAAAGCGGCCAAGGTCATTTTAGTTTCTAGAAAGCATACTAAGCAAATATTATTTGACTTAATATAAGAAGTAATAATATTATGTTTAGAGGTTTTGTTTAAACCCCTAACATTCCATACCATAAGCCGCGGCATTAAGTGAGGTATAGGTCCGAAGTGGGTCCTCCAGCCTCGGTTATTCCCTTCCTTTCTTCCCTTCGTTTCCTCCTCCTCATCTACTTGAAATATGCCTTGTTCTCCTTGCTGTTTTCATCAAAGAAATTTACAACATTAGGAATAAAAAGGAGGGGATCGAATTCATACCAAGAGGCCTTTCGCTTGACTCCCGGAAGCGTGAGTAGACATTGATGGGTGAAGCTCATTCCCGGGCTCTTGTCTCCATCCGCTCTCTTAAAGTCCGGCCCAACTCTTTCTTCAAAGTGACTAAGTGGAAGATCCGCCCTCTTCATAACAAAGATGCTTCTCTTGCCCTTGTCATCAAACTCCATTTCGGTGACCACATCTTCCATGTCCATCTCATATACACTTCTCACCCTCTTTCCCCCAATTTCCTTATCCGGGGTTTGAATTCCATCAACAAATTCCTTTGTTAGATGGTTCATCTTTAGAACGAAAGGATATGTAGGCTCCTTGGGCTTAGGCGCAGCCAATGCCTTGCCCACCGGTTTAGGCACCAATTGAGTAGAAGTGGAGGCACCATTCCCGTCAGTAGGTTGCTTGGCCTTAGCCTTAGTTTTCTTCCGGGCAACTAGTTTGAAACAGGGGTCTTCACTTGTAGCAATGTCTTTCCCCTTATCCATAGTCGCGCCTCCCTTGCCTTGATCAACACCCGTGACCCCTTTTCCATTAGCTTTGGCCGCGGCAGTAATGAGGGGTGGCAAGTGCGGGTTAAGCACCTTGCACTCAAAGGGATTATGGCCAAAGGCCTTGCAATGATAGCAAAATTCAGGGTAAGTCTCATATAGGACCCTTTGATTGTATTCCTTGCCTGAAGGAGGAATAATAGGAAAATTAAGCACCGGGGCCTTTGAGACATCCACTTCAATTAGCACACGTGCATATTTCGTAAAGGTCTTCTCTTGGGTTACCATGTTAGTGGTGATTGGTACCCCAATTTGGGATGCAATCTTCCCAATTTCCGTAGCCCTCCAAAGCCTCAAGTGTAAGTTAAGAAACTTAACCCAAATCGGCACCCTTAAGAATTCCTCACTTTCGAATGAGAAGTCATCAGAAAGTGTTTTAAGGAACATAGTCTTCCCATAAAGCACATAAGAGCCCTCAGTAAGAACCTTTACCCGATCTTCATCACTCTTGAATTTGAAGATAATCCATCCTTTGCTATGTGATTTATCCTCAACTCGAACCCCCCATTTCTTTGTCATATCAAGGATAGCCTTCATGCCTGGAAATCTACCCGAGAAATGCCCAATCAAGCAATAGCCCCAAATGTCAATGAGAGAAGGTACCTCAAGATGGGAGAAATCAAGCTTTTCTCCGGAGGGGGGGAAGTACTCAAGTTTGAGACCATTTGAAGGTGCACGGTTGTCTCGGAATAAGGAAGCATAAGTCAAAGGTTCTCTTTCAAAATCCTCCTCTTCTTGAATTGAATCAGTGTCTTGTGACCCTAGGGATATGGACCCTTTGGGTTCATCAATAGCATGTGGGTTGTTCTCATCTGATGTCTCAATGATATGGGCATCCATGTCCACAGCAGGTTTGATTGCTAGTGTTAGATCATTTGATGCCGCGGCATTGGAAGAGTTGGAGTCCAACCCCAGAAGCTTCTCCGCAAAAGAACCCAGGGATGCCTTGGCCTTGGTAGATGCCGCGGCATAACCTTGTTGTCCCACTGTGGCCCCGGATGCCGCGGCATAACCCTCTTGTCCCCCTGTGGCCCCGGATGCCGCAGCCATGCCCCCTTGTGCCCCCTTGACCACGGAAGCCGCGGCTTGTGAGGAGCCAGTTGCCTTATGTGCCGCGGCAAAAGCTCCAGACGAATTTGAGAAGATGGGGTTAGAGGAAGGGATACCCTCCTTCATAGTGGCCTTCTTCTTCAACTTGTCCTCTTCCATTGCTGCTTGTTCTTCCTGGTCATAGCTCAAGCTCAACGAGGAAGACGATGAACAACACCCTTCACAACCCAAAGTGCTCAGAAAATTCTGGAAAAAATATATGTTGATCTCCAAGTAATGGCGATCCCCAATATATATTTCGTTTTGCCCCAAGACCTACAAAAAGAAGAAAACAATTAGCAAACTACTGCATACCTGCACATAGTATGCACAGTGGCATGAATAGTGTTGTGCTTCTTCAAATCTTTGTTGTAGGTGCTGAAACCAGTGTCAAAATGATCGCCTAGACCAGGCGAACCCTAGACTATGCTCAGAATTTGAAGTGAACGTCGGAGTTGTCCGGAATCTGCAGTCAAAGCTCCGCCGGTGTACAGTAGCCCGCTGCAACGGCTAGTACTGAAACTCAGTACGGCGGACCTCCCGGCGGCCGGAAACCAGATGGGGAGGTGCGCCAAGGGATGGCGACCCCCAAACAATCCTCCTTATCAACAAACAATCGTCAAAAGTTGGTCAGAATAAAAAATCTTGATTCTGCGAAGAACAGTAAATCTGTGCACAAAATCTTTCCAAAAATAGCAACCGGGCTACAAAAATTCAAATTTTTCCAAATCCAATCGATGGAAATGAAAGAAAAATGAATTCCGAGCTTGGGAAAACTGTTTTTGAGAAGATTAAACGTGGGAAAATTCACCAAAATGAAGAGCAAGTGTTCGAGCAACCAAGAAAATTTCGACCGTTGGGGGTGCGAAAATTTTCTAGTGAGAAGGCAGAGAAATTCTCAACGTGAACACCGTGTGTTTCATTCCTTGGTTTTATGGCTGGGTGTGCTACCTGCTTGTTGGGTATGTTTTAACTGGGCCAAAAATTGTGGGTTTCGTGTTTTAAGTGATTGGTTGAACATTTTAGAAAGAATGGCAAAAGTAATACTAATAGGCTTTTACTTGGCAAAAAAATGTTTAATTTTTTTAATGATGAAATGCATATATCGAAATATTAATGTAACACATTTGTTAGAGCAACATTGAAATACTCATGATACAATAATGAAAAGAAACATTTTCAAACACTCATAGTGAGTGCATATATACATAAAACTAAATATAATACATGGTAGAGAATATATACTACACATTTTGAAAAATTTCTGAATATAAAACATTTATTGTGGAACTACTTGAGGAACCATCATTTGCTTATCAATATTTTAAAATTTTCACGTTTGTTAACATGTGAGACAGTCACACACGTTGATCGTGACAAAATACAAATATTTCAGGAATAACTCAATATGAGAAAGTTACCGACTGTGACTTTTGTTAATCATCATTCCATATGATACAACAAAATTGAATCACACCCGTGGTAATACAAAAGTACTTATTACACATCTACATCTATATGCATTTAATAATCATAGAAATATGGGTTATGGAGTAGAACAAAAGTAATTTCACGTTTTAGTAAAACTTCTTTATATTAGTACCAAAGGCAGAAAATTTATTCAAAATGAACTGCTAGTTTTTTAGTGTTTCAACTCAATGTGCATATGTTGTTTTGTACTCCGTATAATATTAGTATTTTTTATATTTATCATCACTCAATGTACTATTCTTTTTATATAAAGGGTAAATCGACATGAAACTTATGAAATACAAAAATAAAATTTATATTTAATTTAATATTTATAGCCCACTTCAAGCAGAATATATATATATACTACATAAGACATGACAGATCAGATTGTGTGAAGACAATTTAGAGCAATCATAATATAGGAAACTTGCTGGAGTAACTTGAATAAGGGTAAATAGTATTTTGTATTGCAAAACACATATTTAATTAGAAAAGTCATTAATAGAAAATCGCCCACTTATAGTTTTATAGACAGACGTTGGCTAAATATCCTAGAGGGTTAATCTTCACCGCTTCACATCTTTTCACCTTTATCACGAACGTTTTATTACTCTCACTGCTCGTAGATTTTGTTGAAAAATGTGTTCCCTTTATGTACCTGCAACTCACAAACAAAAATGAAGCAATATGACGCTATAAATGTTAAAAAGTAAGATTTGTAGAAATAACACTTGCATAGAAAAATACTTTCGCACTTTTGAATGGAATTGGATGTGTCGTTTGAGTCTAAGTGAGTGTTATTTGTACAGGTTGATAAAGCGGTTGTTTAGTTGTGAGTGGGCTGGGACATGCAAGAGTTGTTGTTGATGGATGTAGTAGAAACTGTTCTTTTTTTACTGGATTCACAAGTAAAAACATCATAAATGCATTTATCACAACACGTATGATAGAGATATGATGTTTCCATAATGATGCTAGTACATGAATTCTATAACCCAACGTTCAACGTCATTTGAAAGAATTCTATGATGTTAACATGAAGAATAAAATGAATTTGAACCGTTGTTCACGTCATTTGAATATATATAATTATATAATTGATGACTTGTTTATTGTACCTCTTCATCGTAGGAAACTCTTCCCCGACAATTGATGACTTATTTATTGCCATATGTAGGATATATCGATCACTCTAATTTCTTCCTCAAACCTCATTCCATTGGCGATGTATTGGACTCACTGAACGCATGTGTTTATTACATTTGATACACTGCAGCAAAAAAAAAAAAAAAGAGAAAACGGAACCGAAACATAACTTTCGACCATAAAAGGCAAAACAAAAAATATGAAAGATATTCTTCACTAAAGTTTGTTACCAAATTTACAATGATTTCTAAAGAGGAAATTAAAGGGAGACATGATTTAGAAAGGTACTACAGCCTGCATTTTATAACAAAGCAAGTGTTTATCCGTTTTTCATAATAAGCTTAGAGCACCCTGAAATTTTAAAAAGTTGGAAGTTGTATCCACAATATCCGCAAGTGGGCAGATAATTGATATAGTAGTGGATTTGGTAACCGTTGCTTTACTACATCTTGGAAATCACCAGAATTAATTACGGAGTATTACTTGCCTTGGTTTATACCTTCGGTGGTGTATTGACTTGTGATACACACATGTGTTGAAGGCGGGAACAGTTATTGACTCACGATTCCATTTTTATATTTATATAGATGTGACTAAAAGTCATTTGGACAGAAAAGTGAGCTGGTGGCTGTTGAGTGGCCCGGTGGTGGGGGTTGTGAGTTGTGACTCCCGGGGCATGGACATGGTTGTGAGCTGGTGGCCAGAGATGGCGTGGCTGTTGGACGATGGCCGTACGGTGGTGGACGGTGATGGGATGGCAAACTGGTTGAGACACTTGGTTACCAGTGGAGTAAAATGACGCGGTCGACAGTAGGCGGTGGCAGCGGGTCACCAGAGGTAGTGGCTGGTGATGGTGGTCGGCGGCAGGCGACTATAGTCACTATAAAACTGGGTGGCAGCGTCAACGTGAGGTTTGGGGAGGGTAGACTATGAGCTGGATAAGGGCTGGTGGATGGCGGTGGTGGCCGGAGTTACTGGAAAATTTTCCGACAACACATTGACAAGTTTTGCGGCGGCAGTGACATCCTAAAGTGACACGATCTAGCAATGATATTCAAGAGTGGCATAAAAATTTGATAGTGACATATAATAATAACAAAAATATCTGACAGTGACAGTAAAAATATAGAGACATCATGTTTTTCAAATATGTGACCTTCTTACTCGCATTTTTTGTCCTTTAAAAAAATGGTCACGTTTTCTTAAATCATCTTTAATTTGGTAATATTCAAGGAAAAAACCTAAATTTTTTGTCCTTTTATAAAAATGGTCACACTTTTGGAAATCATATTTAATTTGCTAATATTCAAGGAAAAAGCACAACATTTTAATTTTGAAATTCTCATATTGGTAATATTGAATCATTGGAAATTGTCCAATATAGGAGTAAGAATAAACATAATTGCTCAAATAGGTGTAAAACTTAAAATTTCCTTCAATAGGAGTAAACATTAATTTTCTACCCTTAATACCCCTAACTTAATTAATTCTAATATATGACTTATTTGATCCTATTAAAATATTAAAAAATCTAAAAAATGTTTTTAAAAAATATTAAAATAATAAAAATTCAGAAAATTAATAGAAAACTTTAAAAATAAATAAATAATAGATAAAACACATTAAAAAAATGTCGACCTATCCCGCAACCTCGACATCACCCAGCAATGCCACCTTCGATCGATGAAAAAATGCTACTTTATGTAAAAACTGTCATTTTTATTTGAAATGATATGAAGATGGCAATTTTACTCTTTGAAAATGCAAAATTTTCTCAAAAATTACCATCATGATGGCATTTCAGACAAATGATAGCATTTTTTCGGTGGTCGAAGCTGATGGTGCTGGGAGATTGTTGAGGCGGCGACAGACCCCTGCATTTTTTTTAATTTTTTAATTTTATTTTTTTGTATTTTATTTAATATATTTTATTTTAATAATTTTTATTTTTATTAATTTTATTTAATACAGAGTATATGTTATTAAATATATATTTTTGTGACTTTTTATTTTTTACAATTTTTATTATAAATTAATTAATGTTATTTCTTTTATGTTTTAATTATTAATGAAAGTTGTTGGGGCTTGGGTCTTGGGTAGGGGTATATTTATCCCCAATTGGGCATTTTATGAATTTTGCATTTTGCTTATGTTTTAGTCCTATTTGGGGAATTCACTCTTAGATCAACAGTTTTATTCAATTTAGAAATTGATAAAATGAAAAAAAAAATTAACACACACAAATCCCTCACTTACCTCTCATCCCCTCTCAAACTCTCCAACCAAACAGGGCCTAAGCCGCAACCAATTATACAAAAATTAGATACTTTGTTGCGGTTCAACACTTCAGCCTACTCGCAGCAAATAGTAAAAAAATATACGCAGTGTATTATTTGTCGCGGTTCTTTTTCCCGCCGCAAATAACCCAAAAAAGTATGAGATATTTGTTGCAGCCCATCTCACCTGCAACAAATAATCCAAAACAATACGGAGTATTTGAAGCGGTTGTTAATACCCGGCACAAATAAAAATTAAGTACTTTTTGTTGTGGTTCACCATTACTGCAACAAATAACTATTTGTTTTCTATTAATTGATGCGCTTAGGACAACGACCACAACAAATAGGTATCAACAAATGAATGAAAATCTAGTAGTGTTATTTGGTGACTAGGGAGACCCTAGAGGTTGATTATGCTTGAAATACGAATGCTATAGATAATTAGCTAACTAGTGTAGTGTTTGCGCTTAAGTGCGGCGACCATGATCTAACACGGATTTTACAGCGTAACTGGGGTGGCACTGGCTCATGGTGTGATAGCATAAAGGGTGTATACCGAATCAAGAAACCTTACGAGGTTGTGATAGTGGTAGCACATGGGTCCCCCCAAGTGGATATACCATCAGAAGGGATTTGGTATTGACGGATATGGGCGAGTAGTCTGAAAATCCCGAGATTTGGGTGACAACACTTGTATAACAATAGGCGGCCCATAGAGACTGAATTAAATAATATTTGGCCTTTGGGTTGTATAAATTATTTTGGACATACAATGTGAATTGTTAAGGTTTATTCCTTCAACCCAAATCCCCAACACGTTACATTTGAGTTTCGAGTGGATGTTTTAGTGGAGTAGAATGTAAACAAGCAAACATGGGTCAAATATTACCTAGTAACTAGTAAGTGTGTCATGCCCCAAACATGGGTCAAATATTACATTTGAGTTTCGAGTGGATGTTTTAGTGGAGTAGAATGTAAACAAGCAAACATGGGTCAAATATTACCTAGTAACTAGTAAGTGTGTCATGCC